TTCAGTGCAATATCAGTCACAGTATTTGGAGATTTGGGCCCCACAGTGTTTTTTCTTGTAGCATAGTGGTTTTTATTGTAAGGATGCTGAACTGACAAGCAGCCAACTAAAGGGTCCACTGGTGGGACAAAGTAGAGTTTTTTGTCCCCACTGATTGGAAGTGTACGTGACCTCGGAAGGATCAGGTGCGTTTAAAGATAAGGCTGATCCACAGAAAGAAGTAGGGATACTAGCCAGAAAGAGGAGGAAATCTTTGGTTTGGTATGTTACTCTTGCGTTTCAGTAAGTCCTAGTCCTAAAGGTCTCAACCCTGTTACAAAGAGACATGCTATTTAATGTCTTCTAAGCATGGCTTGTTACAAGAATGTCCAAGTACTAAAGATGGAAGGAGAGTTTGGGTCCTGCCAGCACCCAGCTTGGGTGTGGATTTCCTCAAGTCAATCAGCCTTGAAAAGGAGCGTCACTCCTCCTGAACAGTTTGTATATCCTTTTGCTTGCCAAGTAATTAAAAAAAAATAAATCTGAAAATGGTAGAAATGCTTGGAATTTATTTACCTACAAAATTAATTTTGAGTTCCCCAGATCTCCTTGTAGTGGTTGCTGATATTTTTCGCTTGACCTTGATTCCACCAGCAGATGAGAGAGTCTATTGAAATTAAGATAACGAGCAATTGTGGTATGACAGCTGCCCAGCCATTGTGGAGTGGGTTTTTTTGAGGCATTTCAGAAGGATTTTTTGGAAAGAAATTTAAATGAGGCTGAGGGATTTTATAGAGAAAAAAGCTATAAGCTATATAGAAGTGTCCGTTCAGAGAAGAATGTGGTAGTTTACACACATATTATCAGTTGACTTGAAAAATATTGAAGAAATTAATAGTCCACAGCTTCTTATCTTGGTTTGGGTGCTTCCTGTCTAGGTGTTAGGCATTTTCTGCCCTTCCAGCTGAAGCTCAGGAGATAAACTGTGTATGTTTGATGGATTTTTGTGATTTTGAGAAGTCTGAAATCAGTTCTCCTTGTGCTCTTCTAGATCTGAGAGGTTTTAAAGTATTTTTTCTTTCTTATTTCCCTTTATTTTTTACATTTTTTTTCCTTTTTTTTTTTTTAAAAAAAAAAAAAAAGAGAATTGGAAAGATATGGACAGTTGCTTTAAGGATTCATGCTGAGGGCAGAGTTCAACTACATCCCACGCATCTGTCTAGTAAGAGCCAGTGATCAATCAGTTCTTTTCACAAATCACAGCCACCATGTCTTTGGCACTAGATCAGCATATCTGTTACTGTTTTTTAAGAGAAGTACTGTGGGACCACTTACTGTTCATAAAAGAAAGTATTGTGGAGCCCAGTCTTTCCTGCTGAGGTGATACAAACCTGCTAGCGCCGTCCTTAAGTTAATTACAAGGGGGGGAAAAAAAAAAAAAAATCTAAGAAAGAGTGGCAGTGAGAAATAAATGGAGTGGTAACTGTGCACAGTGGGCAGTGCATGCCGTGGCAGCCATGCTGGTGGGGTGCCCCACTGGACCCTGCCTCCACGTCTGTGCATCACCAGAAAGAAGCGGTGAGCTCTCAATAGTTGTACGCGCTAGCAAACGTTTTCAAACCCTGCTGTGCATCCAGTGTAGAACTGTACGGCAACACACCTGGCTGTATTTTCATCTGAATCATACATCTGCAAGAGAAATTAAATCCTGGACCTCCAGGTTCAGGAAGAAATCCAGGAAAGAATGAAAAAGGATCAACTGTATTTGTTGTCAGCCACAAGTTCTGTTGACTTTGTGGAGGCCAGGAATTTGCTAGTGGTTTAGTCACAAGCAGGTGGGCTCTTCCAAGCCAAGACTGGCCACATATTGTACTACAAATTCCCCATAAGGTGTGGGACAAGCAGAGCCTGTTTCTTTTTCGTCTCCCTTCTACCTCGTGGAGAAGACAAGTGCGCGTTACTTGGTGGTGGCCTTTCTGGGTTGCTCTGCATTGGGGCTGGGACATACAGGTAGATGGGTAGGGAAACGAAACATTTGTGATGGGGGTCTGGCATGGCGCCTGCAGAAGGGATGAGGCATTCTAAACACATTAGAATTATTCAAGCACGAATAATTAAAACTTGAGAAATAATTCATGTGACACCTCTTCTACTAAAATGATACCATTGATTGGGAAAGGAGGATTTGGTACCTTTAGCTGTCCTGATAAGTCCTCACTCATGTTTTCTACTGAAATCTAGGATATATTTGCATTTTCTCTACCTTTTCTTGCAGTTACATGTTTAAGTTTAAAAATACTCACTGTAGAGTACCTGGCCCCTCTCAGCTGTGTTAAGGGTGTTGTATTGATTAAGAAGTTTGCCTGACGGGTCACTGAAGGGCACTATGTTGGACTGGGAAAGTACTAGCGGAGATCTGTTACCAGAACACTTCATCCACTTAAAACAGTGCAATTGATGTATGGTTCTGCCTTGGGCTGTTCCTCCTTCACCTACAAAATCCAGTGCTGCCTGCCTGAAGATTTGCTGTTCTTCTAGTGGAGGCACCTGAGCCCTCACCGATGGTTGTACACAGTGGTGCTGCATGGCTGGTCCCATCTACGTATGAGATGCATAGACTGGAGAATATTGTGCTGTTGTGTTGAAGAACTTACACAGTACTTAGTCTGATTTCATATTACTCCATCAGCCTTATCCATTAGCAGTTTTGTCACTGCACGCTCCTTCTGCAGATGCTAAATGGGATTGTTGGTGTTTTGTTTCATAGCATGAACGTTGAAACCAGTCATGTGCTTAAAAGCTGCACAGATTGTTAATATGTTTGGGTTTTGTTTGTATGTCTTCCTTGGTCCTTGATGTCCTGGGTCCAGATCCAAGCTCAGTGAAGCTGGCGTGGTGTGTCCCTTCCTAGTGATTTCACCATTTAATGCGTACTCTCTCAAGAAACCCTTGAAATCTGGAGCAGTATGTTTATTGTGGGACCAGAGGACTGTGGCAATCCACTGTATGAGAGCTACTCCAGTATTAATACTTGCACTTTCTATTCCTGTGACCTCTTTCTAGCACTTAGAAGATGCAATAGGCTATACATTTTTGAAATAGTATACACTGCTGTTCACTAAACAAGAACATATTCCACTATATAGTTCACACTGACAGTCACATCATAAACGTGTTGATCCCTGTTGCTGTTTGAAACAACGATGTAAAATAAGCGTTATGTATTTTGAGGAAACGATAGAAACTTTTCTAGTCTTGCCAGAATTTTAAAGGGCTTTGTTTTTGTGTATAGCTACTACCTCATGAATAGTTTTCAAGTCCGTTTCAATTGCTAGTATTGGAGTAAACCATATATACGTGTTTATGTCTATATAGATGTATCAATAAAAAGGTAAAGTACATACATGTTGTTATGGGAAGAAGGAAACTCTTTGGTGTGCGCCCTTAGATGCTGTCTATTTTGGAGCTCTCATAAAAAACACTGTGCTGGAGAGTATTCTTCAGCTTGGCATTTCTACCCTTCAGCTGGGTGTCACTATCCTCATAGCAGGGTTGGGAAAACTGCTTCTTCTCTTACTGAATCAGTGTCCTCCTCCACGTAACAATGTGCAGAGGAAGGCTGCATTCCGCAGCAGAGACGCTTTCCTCCCAAATGAATACAGTGATATATTTTTCCTTTAAGTATTGTGTATACAAATACTTAATTACAGGAATATAATCTCAAAATTTTTAAATTATGTGCTTTTGTATTGTGAAGATACAAGTATTTTCAGCAGGTGACACAAAATACAAAGGTTTGGATTTTTTTCTACATGGATTTTAATAACCGGTTTAAATCCCCAAAAAGTACCTAAGAATTTAGAAGAGGAAAAAGGAGAAGATATTGTGTATGAAATGAAAGATGTATCAATTGGCTAGACAGGATTAGAGTTTTGTAAATACATTGTTCCCATAGTTTAAAAAAGCATTGTCTAAAATAAGTGCTTTAGAAAAGGGAAGAGGCTAATTAAAAAAAAAAAAAAAAAAGAGGCAAAATTAATTCTTTTTTTTAGTAATTTTGTGCAACCAGTTGAACATTATAATTCTTCCATGAATAATCACTTCAAATAGGTGTTGACAAGTAAATAATTCCTAATAGACATATAAAAATTTAGTAGCTTTTTGTCATGGTTGTTGTTAGTTTGGAAAGTATCCTGTCAACTCTCTCTAGTTTCCAGCAGGGAGGCTGGGGGGGAAGAGAGAGGGGTGGCGATTAAGCACACGAACTTTTTGCTCTTTGAGCTTAACTCTGAAAATGAGAGGTCACTTAAAACCAGATCATCATGGTAGCTTCCATATTTTCATGTCAAAATCAGCTAGCAGCTGCCTTAAAGTAACACCAACGTTTACGTGTCGATATTTTTCCTCAGTTACTTGCAAAGTAGCTGACACTGATTCCATGCCCTGCTAAGGCTGTATTGTGGAAATAGAATGGGTTTGGTTTTTTAACAGTATTTTCTCTCTTCTTTATCTGGAAATGGCCAAAACCAAAACAAAAGGAATTGTTTATCTATACCAAGAACTTAAAGTGTATAATTTTGTGTTGTCCTTCCATCAGTGAATGAAAACTTTAATTTTGAAATTTGGTCCTGTTTGCATTTATACTTTGATCCGTAGCATGGCTACATCTCGTCTCACACCTTGGATACTGCCATATGTGAGCTTGTGTTCTGAGGCTTCCCAAATGACTTTTTAATCAGTTGTTATTATTACACAGCTTGTAGCTTTTCCAGTGTGCAGCCATGTTGATTTCATCGCTTGTCTCATCTTTCATGTGAAATAGTCCTGGTTGCTCTTGTGACTGCCTTGCGTTTCTTTGCCTCCCTTCTCATGGCATGGACCAGCCTTGGTGTCTGGTTTCTATGACCTCCAACATCACAGCAGCACTGATATGTACGCCTGTTGCCTTATTATTAATGGTCCATTGGAGGTTTTTAATGCCTTTTTTCATATTTTGGGTTTTTTTCATTTTTTTTTTTCAGGATCCCCTGGAGCATCGCATTCGCCCATTCAGAGCGTGGACAGGAGTTTGGCATTGTGATTTTACAGGTACCTTTTTGAATTAAAATGCACGTTTGTTCCAGGGTTTCGATAAAAGGAGGGCAATTCCAGAAAGACTTTATCATGTCCTCTTCGGCTGTCTTGGGAGGTATGTTCTGGTAATGAATTTCTCTTCCTTGACCTTTACTAATTGATTGGGTTGGCAAATTCATTAGTTGCAAATATATACTTCAGTACTGTTTGAGAAAGATTGAGGCTTGCTTTTGCTGTCCTCAGTCTCGCAGAGATGTATGTGTCAATGTGGCAGAACCCTTTTTGGAAACAGTCCAGTAGTTGCAGACTTTTTCCTATCCTTTATTCCCAACTGGTTAAGTCTTTCCGTTCGGTAGATTGCGTTAGCTTTCTGTGATGGAGACCTTCAGTGCAAGTGAGCGCTTCTAGCCTTAGTCCTCCAGAGCTTTCTGTTATTTGTCTGGTTATTACTAACACACTCAAAACCAAAAGAAATATTAAACATCTCTGAGTCCATCCACAACACTCTGAGCCTGATTTCAAGGTGTGATCAGGAGATGAATGTTGAAGTTTAAAATCTTTTATTCGTCATTAAAGCTCCTAAACAAAAGGGGAAACTCCAGTGTCCGGAATAATGGAAAGCATGTCATATATCGAGTAGCTTCATCTTTGGTGAGTGCAAGAAAACCAGATGAAATCCAAGAGAACAAGAGGGGACAGGAGCTGTGCATGTGGCACTTCACACCAGTGGTTGTACAATTCTTGAAAGACTAGTAGAACACTTCTGGTATTTCACCGTAGCAAAGGAAAAATCAGTAATCAATGTCTGATGTGTCCTGTATCAAATCAGCAACATGCTTCACTAATATTTAAAGTCCACTCAGTAGAAGGCATTCCGCCTTCATCTGTTTCCAATCAGCATATTTGGCTTCAGAACATACATTTGCATCGTGTGGGGTCTTAAATTAACAATTATCACTGCTGGTTTATTTCAAGACAAAAATGTTAAGTCTGAGAGTATGCATGGCTAATTTAAGGGTAAAGATCTGTTCCCAGGATGTAGGAATCATCTCAGAAACCATTTCTGTCAGCTGAGGAAATTAAGAACTTGAAATTTCAGATGCATTGTAGTATGAAATTAAAGGCAGCAAAACTGTCTTAGCTGTGCCAGGGACTTACACCAGAAACATTCAAAGCCTTGTAAGTGATCTGTGTTAATTTTTGTGGTCACAAGTTGACCTACACTAATTTCGCAGTCACGTTTTGTATTTTTACCTTCCTGATGACATGCTGTATGGGATTTATTTCTGCTGTCTTAGAAAAAGGCTTCGGTGTTTGGTGTTCATACATATGCTCCAGGAGGTCTGTAGTTTTGTTGGAGATATATTGCTTGTTTTGCAAATGGAAAACATTAGATTCATGATTTATGATGAAAGCAGCATTTGGTCCTGGCTGCGGTGACACAGCCAGCCCTCCCTTGTTATTAGCTTTTAGAGAATGTCTTGAAACCAGTCCAGATCAGTGATGAACTGGTGCTAGTGAGTAAGGGACATCTTCAGTGGAGGGACCCGGTTCCCCAGCGGTGACAGGGACGGTGTGCTGGCAGGGCAGCTGGACAGGAGAGGTTACCTTGACGCAGCAGGAATGGGTAAATGAAAAAACAGACACCGTGTGTCCTCACTTGCGGCTTGGCACCTTGGTTGCGGCATCCCGTTATTTGGCTGGCTTAGGCATCTTGACCCTGTGACGTTCAAGTTCAGTTTCTCTGGATCCACCTACTGAAAAAGTTCGCTGAGTCTCATCTCAAAATAAGTAACAATTTACTGGGCTAAAATAGTAGATATGAGCTTGGGATACCTGTATCCAGTTTCTGGGTTTGGAAGAAGTTTTCTTTGTTACTTTGGGCAGTCATACTCAATCCTGTATTTAATTCCCTGTTTGGAAATTTTCTTTTCTTGACAGGAGAGGGGACAGCTATTAATGTGGCTGCGTATCATAGAACTGAGAGGAGAACAGATATGTAGCAATCTAGAAGAAGTCTGATAGTCTAAGGGGGGGTAGGAGTAGAGAAATAATTTAAGCGCTCTTTCTAAGCAATAATCTAGGGCACTTGTAAGGACAGGGTTGAGAGCATCCCTAGTTCAGGACTCCCCGGGGACAAGCTTAGTGTGTGTCTCGGCATGCAAACAGCGTGTGAAAGGGAGTTGAAGCAATGCCAAAAAGAAGAACTGGATTTACTGAGGAGTCAACAGCAAACTTTGGCACTCGTTCGATTGACTGGCTGGTGTTTCTGGGTGACTGGATTTCCTCCACTGTTTGTTTTCCTCTTGAGAATGTGCGGGGCTCCGAGGCTGGTGCCCTTCTGTGATCTCCTCCTGCCAACCACCCTGGCGCCAGCTCCTCTGCCACCAGCCTGCTAGGCTCGGTGGACAGCCTGCCCCAGGCACGGAGGCTGCGGGAGAAGGGAGAGGACGTGTCTCTCAGCTGCAACCCACAAGCAGCCTGGATGGGAGGGAGCTTTGCTTCAGAAGGAGCTTCACTGGCTGATACACTTCTCCGCTGCACCCTTCTGCTGGCTCTGTTCCCCCTGCGGGACAGAGGAGCTGCAAGGGAGGTGATGAAGAAGAGAGCATTTGAAGTGTCTCTTCCTTTTGACTGTAATCTCTCTGTGTCCTTGTAATCTATTTCTGCTTCCCAGCCCACTCACTGTTCAGTGCCCCTGTCTCTATTCCCAACTCCTCTTCCTCTCTGCTCTTTTCCTGGTAATTACACTTCTCTGCCTCTCTGTCTTGCCATTTCTCACTCTTCCTGTGTATGTCCCCACATGCCCAGTTCAAGGTTTGAGTTTTGTTTTTTTTCTTGGAGCTGGGATGCCTCAACCCTCCCTGCACTGCCTCCCTCTCCACTTGATTAAATGCACTGGCTGCAGCTTGATACAGCTTTTGTGTTCTTTGAGATGGAGAGGTTTTTATGGTTTCTTAAAAATTGTGGCCAGGAAGAGATTCCATCATCATCATAACTTCATCAGGGCCCTCAGATATGCAAAAACCATTCAGTGTGCAAGAGTCTGGGCAGTCTGACTTCTTAAAAACAGCTTTCTAAGAACATTGTTTTAGTGAATAGTCACTACGTTAAATGTCAGTAATACAAAAACACACTTTGAGCATCAAACTTGGATATTAAACAAAACTTTGGATGTTCATTAACAAGTAGATAACTGGATATTCGTCTTCAGTTAAACGGGTTGTGAACAGTTTCTGAAGATCTGTAGTTTTAATATGTGGTCTCTGTAGGCAAATATTTCTAATACAGTAGTTAAGAAGAAAATATACTCAGTTTATTCTAACAGCTAATACCTTAACAACTCTAGTAAATATATCCGACATAGTCTAGGGGGTTACATACGCAAATGCGTAATCATGCCATGCACATACAGCGTAGCACTTGCGTTGGGTTCTATAGCTGTATCATTGATTGCAATATCATCATAACACAGAAGACCTAAATTGCATTGTGTTCCAGTGCCAAAATTGGTATTTTTAACCATCTACTTCAAGAAGTCTTAAATATACATACATGTTTTCAAGACATGGCGTTATGTACTCCTTTCATTTTCTTCCTTGACTTCTAACACCATGTATCTTTAGACTTGAGCTTGGAGAAAAGGGAAATTGATTATCATGTGGTGTGGGAAAAAGTCATCTTATCTAGAGAAAAACATAGCGGTACCAGTCAAAAATAAAAGATATAATTCATGGAGTTGCTCTGAAGGTTGCAGTGCTGTAAATCATGTGTGGCTTGGTTTTTTGGTTTTGTTTTGTTTTGTTTTGTTTTGTTTTTAATTATTCTTGTTTTAAAAAAAGTCCTGATTTGTTTTTACATACTCAAAACTTCTATAGTGTGTTTATTTAAGAAAAAATAAATGGGCGATATTTCATGTATGTAAAGTTTCAATGCTTAGAAATGGTTAACTCGGGGTAATATGGTGTAGAAATTATTTTTAAATAACCATGCTGACCTTACTGCAGTATTATCTCATGTTACAGAAAAGGCTGTTTAATATAAGGAGTTTTGACAAACAAGACCCCACAGCTAATCAGAAGAGTGGTTCAGAGTCCTCGGTTGTCAGAATTAGGCCACTCTGTTGTGCTCCACTGGCTGACCGTCATGATTTTTCTATTGGTGCTTGGTTTAGCATACTTGGTTTTTAATTGCACCTAATGTACTGCCTATTAAAGGTGGTCTTGAAGGTTCTTAATATTAGTAAGAGACATTCACTGGCTATATTTTAATAATTATTTCTAAAGATGAAACAGTTGTGCTCATGTTTACAGTTTATTAAAATGAATAACAGGAGGAGAGTAAGCTGTTAAAATAAGAGAGACAATAATTAAATAAATATATATATTTGTATAATAACTATTACTTTCTGGTTTCTTGCTTATAAAAATTTGGTGTTATAAGAAATATTCTATATACTTTGTGCACAATTTCTTTCAAATGTATTTTCACAATGGGTAAGAAACTTTGGAAAGGTGCAATTAAGCTTTGTTTTGAAACTTTGAAAATAAGTATTCAGAAAAGTTTCTGTTACTAATTCAATCACTGACTAAAGGAAAGGAAATTTTAAGTATGATTTTCTTTTTTTCCATTTATAATAGCTCTTTATGGTTTCAGCTTTTTCACAGCATGAGCTGTTGGGATTGTTTCTCTTTTCTGGGCTATATTTGTTTACTTTGGTTCTTCGTGCATTTGAACATTTCTGGAGTTTTGCAGGGTTAGTAACTGCAAGGAAATGTCTAACTGCAGCTGTTTTCATTGTGGGTTTATTGTTACTTCTCAAATAAAATCTGTTTATAGCTATGATACTATGTTCCTTTAATATATTTCTCATTGTAAACAGTTTTTAAAAACTTTTCTCAGTAAATAAGTGTCTAAACATGGCAATTTGACTTTTGGCCTCTTACGACAGAGTCTGGTAAATTTTTTCCTTTCCCACAAAAATGAGCTGGCAGTGGTAGCAGGTCTCCATTTAT